TACTGTTTTGATTCAAAAATATTATTTGTTTGAATAATTATGTTTGATTCAAACATATTTTCTGTTTTGATTTAAACAAAAATTATGTTTAAAAATTTTACTCTCTAAATCTGAATCAGTGAAAAATAACTGAAATTTCAGTCATTTTCCACTGATTCGACAATTAAAAAATTTAAAAATTTCAATCATTTTTAACTGATCTTCAGTAAGATTTTACTGATTCAAATCGCGAGAATAGAGTCACTGATTCTCAGTCATTGTTTATCTAAAAAGACAATTTATGTATAGGTAATACTTGTACACTAGTTTGTCTAGTTGGAAATCAATAAGGGCCTGATCAGTTTTCTCTAGTCCAGGATATCCTAACTAGAATATGATAGTTTTCTAGTGAGTTTTTCTAGTCGAAATTATTTAACTAGAATTCGATAGGGGCCCGACTAGTTTTTCTAGACTAGAGGTTCTAGTCAGAATCTAGCGAGGACCCTACTAAAGACAGGGACAAATGGGTAAATTTCTACACGGGATACTTTTCAGCTCTTTAATGTTATTTTACACTAAATTTATAAACAAAATTATAGTTTTTATATTGTGTAATAGTTAAGGGATGTTTAAATAATATTTTCGTCTATTGTTTATAATTCAATGATTACATGTTTAGAAGTTATAAAGCAAAGACATGAAAATACCTACTTTATGGAGAATCACCCATGGGTGACAGAAAAAAATATGTGTTAAATTTGTTGCGTGTAGTTTTTAGGTGATGTTGTTTTAACACAATTTTGGTGTTATTTTAACCCTATTTAAAATGTATAATAATTTAACACCCTGTAGTGTTAATTTAACACATTCCAATGTTATTTTAACACCAATGAAGTGTTAAAATTGCACACTGTCGGTTAAAAATGTTGCGTGTAGTTTTAACACTACTTTTAGTGTTATAATAACACTTTTTTTTTCCTGTGCATATTCGAAGAGTACTGTTCGACTATTGTAATCATTACACAGGTCAACAAAAAAAGACTAACTTTTTTTTTATGAGATATCGGAATGGTTTACGATGTATTTTTGGACGCTGAACACGATCTCGACTACCAAAATTGCCCATCACGTCATGATTTTGAGAAAAGTGGGGGTAAAGACCCCAAAAACGCTTTTTTGAGGATTTTCAACATTTTTTTTCTCTTTAACCTGACGTGCTAGAGACTTCCACAAGGTCTTAAATTAAAGCTTGTAATGTGCACTAGAAGACCCATATCCATAAAATAAAAAAAATTAAGATTTTTTTAAAAAATGGGGTTGAAGACACTAAAAAATGTGTGTTTTTGAATTGATTTAATAGACTCCTTGCAATTGCTTGGATTCGCTTGAAAACGGTTACTCGAGGTTTTTGAGGTCGCTGATTACAAATCGGATATTAGTTTTCAAAACATTAAAAATGGCGAATTCGTAATCAGCGATCCCAAAAATCCTGGAGTAACAAACTTTTAAGCGAATCCAAGAAATTCTTCATTTTTATATCTGCCATCTTGGTTCCGCCATTTTAAATTTTTAAAAACTAATTTTGGATTCGTAATCTACGACTCCAAAAACCCCGAGTAACAATTTTTAAGCAAATCCAAGCAATTGCATGAAGTCTATTAAAGCAATCGAAAAACACACCTTTTTGGTGCCTTCAACCCCATTTTTTAAAAAAACTTCTAATTTTTTTTTATTTTATGGATATGGGTCTTCTAGTGCACATTACAAGCTTTAATTTAAGACCTTGTGGAAGTCTCTAGCACGTCAGGTTAAAGAGAAAAAAAATGTTGAAAATCCTCAAAAAAGCGTTTTTGGGGTCTTTACCCCCACTTTTCTCAAAATCCTGACGTGATGGGCAATTTTGGAAGTCGGGATCGTGTTCAGTGTCCAAAAATACATCGGAAACTTTTTTTGCAGTCTAGTGGGGTCTAGTATAAGTGATTTCTCAAAAAAAATTACTACTGTAAGACCATCTATAATTTTGATGAATTTTTTTCGTTTTTGGACCATTTTACCCCATAAACGAAGGGATCCGAAAGGGTTGGAAGGGCGAAACTTTTTTTGCAATCTAGTGGGGTCTAGTACAAGTGATTTCTGAAAAAAATTACAACTGTAAGACCATCTATAATTTTGATAAATTTTTTTTTGGTTTTTGGACCATTTTACCCCATAAACGAAGGGATCCGAAAGGGTTGGAAGGGCGAAACTTTTTTTGCAGTCTAGTGGGGTCTAGTACAAGTGATTTCTGAAAAAATTACAACTGTAAGACTATCTATAATTTTAATGAATTTTTTTCGTTTTTGGACCATTTTACCACATAAACGAAGGGATCCGAAAGGGTTGGAAGGGCGAAACTTTTTTTGCAGTCTAGTGGGGTCTAGTACAAGTGATTTCTGAAAAAAAATTACAACTGTAAGACCATCTGTAATATTGGTAAATTTTTTTTTCGTTTTTTTGGACCATTTTACCCCATAATCCAAAGGATCCGAAAGGGTTGGAAGGGCGAAACTTTTTTTGCAGTCTAGTGGGGTCTAGTACAAGTGATTTCTTAAAAAAAAATTACAACTGTAAGACCATCTATACCGGATACACTATTGTGGATCTATGAAGCAATTCTGCTCCCTAGGCTGACCTATGCTTGTGTGGTCTGGTGGAGTAGAGTTAAGCTAAAAACAGCACAAACAGAATTGGAAAGGGTAAGGGGGATGGTACTTAGAGGCATAACGGGGGCGGTGCGTACAACTCCTACTGCTGCCCTTGGTGCCCTCTTGGGGCTAGAACCCTTACACCTTACAATTAAAGCAGCGGCGGTTAAGGCTGCCCTGCGGTTGAGTGGTCCTGTGGGCCGCAGGGAGGTGGGCAGATGGCGTCTTCCAAAGAAATTGGTGAGAATCCCCCTTCTAAGTATGATTAGGGACAGAACTGTCCCTTTGTACCTCTTCGACAAAAAGTATAGGATTAATATACCTAGTAAAGAAGATTGGATAAATGGACTGACAAGTATTCCAGCTGACTGTGAAGTCTGGTACACAGATGGATCAAAAGGCGGGAATGGAGTTGGTGCAGGAATCTATTATGTAACCTCCCAAGTGGGACACTCCTTTAAGTTGGGGACCACTGTTACTGTGTTACAAGCCGAAATTGTGGCAATATTTTATGGTGCTGTTGAAGCCTTGAAAAATTGTCACAACAAAGATATTTTTATCCTTTCGGATAGCAAGGCGGCCATTTTCTCCTTGAAACGATACGTATCAACATCACGGCTGGTCGGTGATTGTCATGAAGCACTTAACAAACTAGCTGAAACGAACCGCGTTACCCTCCTGTGGATACCTGGTCACAGTAGATTCGCGGGAAACGATAGGGCGGATGAGCTAGCTAAAGAAGGGGCTAGAAAACAACTTATTGGACCTGAACCTCCCATTGGTGTTTCCAACAAATGCCTGACACTGGAAATTAAACAGTGGATAGCTGCGGAACACCAAAGGGAATGGCAGGTAACTAAGGGCTGTAGACAAGCCAAGGTACTCATGGGAAGTAATATTAACCCTATGAGGAAAGCGGAATTCCGCAAATTAAATAGAAAAGAGGCAAAGATCATAACAGGGCTATTAACTGGCCATGGTGATCTGCGCTATCATAGGCACAAAATGGGGATCCTAGACGACCCGAAGTGCCGTAGGTGTGGAGAGGAATATGAAACCCCGATACACATCTTGTGTCACTGCCCTGCACTTGTGAAGGAGCGGGAACACATTACGGGCTACTTTTTTCTGGGGGAGACCGTTATTGCTACCAGAAACCTGGCCGAAGTCCTCCTGTTGTGGAAAGGACTTCGGATATAGGGGTGGTTATGGGGAACGTAAAGGGATTACCCAAGCGTTAGTGGCGTTGACCTGCAAGGTCCTAAGTCCACAACCCTCTTCTTAATAATAATAATAAGACCATCTATAATTTTGATGAATTTTTTTCGTTTTTGGACCATTTTACCCCATAAACGAAGGGATCCGAAAGGGTTGGAAGGGCGAAACTTTTTTTGTAGTCTAGTGGGGTCTAGTACAAGTGATTTCTGAAAAAAATTACAACTGTAAGACCATCTGTAATATTGGTAATTTTTTTTCGTTTTTTGGACCATTTTACAGTCATGTAAAGTTGGCACTATTTTTTTGAAAAATCAAAAATTTTACAAGAGTTCTGGGCACTTTAGCAATAGTTCTAGAGTTCTCTAACGATTATTTAAATAGTTTTAATGATTAACAATAAAAAAGCGACAATGAAAAATCATAGTGCTAAGTTTGCATAGCACTATGATTTTTGCAAAAAAGAGTTCTGACCTAATATTCTGAAAGAGAATAAAGAGTTCTAGAGTTCTCTACCAAAAAAACAAGAGTTCTGCAAAATTTCAAAAGATATTAACAAATTAAAAAAAATTATGAAAATAATATTTTGCGAGTTCTGAATAGAGTTCTGGCATCGTTGCGAAGAGTTCTATAAGTATATCTAATGACATTTTGTTCTAAATCCAAAATCAAAAAAGTTACGGGACTTTGAAATTTTCTAAAATTTTCAAAATTTTAAAATTCAGAGTTCTAAGAGTTCTGAAAAGAGTTCTGAAAAAAAATTTCAACTGTAAGACCATCTGTAACTTTGCTAAATTTTTTTTTGGTTTTTTGGACCATTTTACCCCATGAACAAAGATATCCGAAAGGGTTAGAAGGGCGAAACTTTTTTTGCAGTCTAGTGGGGTCTAATACAAGTGATTTCTGAAAAAAAATTACAACTGTAAGACCATCTGTAACTTTGATAAATTTTTTTTCGTTTTTTGGGTCATTTTACCCCATAAACGAAGGGTGTTGAAGGGGTTAGGGGGTTGAAAGTTTTTTGGTGCATGTTTTTTAGCAATTAAAACGTTTTTGCGTTGAAAAGTTTTTATTTTTTTAATTTTTAATTTTTCGTTTTTTTAAACGTTGCGGACTTCAGCCTCATCAAAATTTATTATATTTATATTTTTAGATAATCGGATTCAAATAATCCTATAATCTTAGTTTTTGGATCCTGAATATTGGATTTACAAATGAGTAATTCTAATTTTAGTCAACCCTAACTGTAGATATAGTTGTTGAATAAATGATCATGGGAAGGTGGAAATTGAATAAAATCCAATGTGTATTGTCAGTATAGCGACGTTTCGTTGGCTAAGGTTTGCCAACCTCATCAGGCTGAATTTATTAAAAGAATAAACACTTCAATATTTATAAAGACTTAAAGCACTATTTTTATAAAAGTAATGACAATAATATTATCATACCTAATTCATTAAAACATAGAGACACGTTTTAACTTGTCAAGAAATAAAAAACAATAAATAAATAAAATACAACACATGTTCCACATTAAATAGTTAAAAATAGAGTTAAAATTTAGAAAGGAAGACATTTCATTACACTGTCTCAGTGTCAACTGAAATAAAATTAGAATTTAACGATATAAGAAAGTCAAATTGATACGAGAAGGGGCAATGAACTTATATATAAACACAGGTTGTCAGAAAGTTATGTTATTGTTGTGTATCGTTAAAGGCAAGAGTCTATACGTCTGAGAAGAGGAAAGAAGGTTTTGTTTAGAGTGAAAATATCTTCCTTTCTGTTGATAGTGGAACGATTAGTTTTAATATGGATCATTTCAGATATTCGTCGTTTTGTAAAATTTTTTTCATTGTCCAAGATTTTTGTGTTTTCCCAGTCAAAATCGTGATTAAAATTGGTTCGGTGTCGATAAACTACAGAGTTGTCATTCACTTTTTTGTGTTCATTTATGCGAGTAAATAATGATCGTTTCGTCTCGCCAATATATGTTGCAGGGCAGTTTTTACAATTAAACTTGTATACAACATTAGTTCTATCCCATTTTTTCGTCGAATCTTTACCTAATCTAACGATGGAGTTAGAGTTTTTATTTATAAGGGGGATAGAAGTGCAATGAAACTCTTTGAAAATATTTGACAACTTGAAAAAACATTTTTCATTGAAAGGTAGACAAACTTTAGGAGTTTGGCTATAAATATTATTTTTATTATTATTATTTACATCAGAAAATTTTATTTTGTTCATACGAATTTTTATTTGATTTTCAATGAAATCGATAGGATAGTTATTATTTTTCAAAATAGTTTTAATTTTTTTCAAGTTATCAAAATGGAATTTTTTGTTGGACAATGAAATCGCTCTGTCGACGAGATTGTATACAATATTCTTTTTTTGTTGAATTGGATGATCTGAAAAATAATTGATAAGTCTATCCGATGAAGTCGGTTTTTGATACCAATTTGTAATAATTTTATTATTATCTCTAACAAGATTTAAATCGAGAAATTTAATAGAATATTCTTTTTCTTTTTCTACGGTGAATTGTAGTTTTTGATTATAAGAATTAAAAGTATCAACGACCAAATTAACATGTTCTTTTTTAACTGCTAAGATTGTGTCATCCACATATCTAAAATAGAACAGAGGGACACAATCATGTTTTTCTTTTAACTCTTTTAAACATTCAGTTTCCAGATCATCCATAACAATATCAGAGACAAAAGCTGAGATTGGAGAACCCATCGGTGTACCGTAAACTTGTCTATAGAATTTTCCATCGAACGAAAAATACGTGTTGTTAAATACGAATTTTGTAAAATCAATAATATCAGAAAAAGGGATCTTACATTTCTGATTTATAAAGTTAATTCGTCTATCCAAACTCTGAGTGGCAAGTTCACAAGACACATTAGTGAACATGGAACTTACGTCAAGTGAGATAAAAGTATAAGTATCGTCCATAGTAATATCATTCAATTTATTTTTGAGTTCTAAACTGTTATTAATGTGTGACTGAGGTAAAGGTATGCAATTTTTTAAAGAATTATATAAAATTTTAGCAAGAAAATGAGTAGGACTGTTTATTAAAGAAATAATAGGGCGGAGTGGGACATTTTCTTTATGTATTTTTGGTAGTCCGTAAGCCTTAGCCAAAACAGTGTCGGTCAAGGTCAATTGATTCGGGTGATAGTTTTTATCTAAGAAATCGTTTTCATTCAAATATTTAAGAATTGCTGATGTTTCTTTAGTGAGTTTTTTTAAAGGATTCTTTTTTATAAGTTCATAGGTAGAAATGTCAGAAAACATATTTGTCATTTTTTGGTTATAGTCAGATTTTTTTAGAAGGACTGTCACATTACCTTTATCAGCAGGAGTGAAAAAAAGGTCAGAATTGTTTTTTAAGAAAGTTTTGGTAATGTTTAATTTTTTACAAAAAGATTTATCTTGATTTTTAGATGGATTTTTATTATTTAGATTATTTGATAAAACATCAGAAAACTTTCCCCTTAAGATATTTTTAGAAGTTTCATTGATGTCAACTTTAGATAAACAGGACTCCAAATTTTTGATAGAATTTATAATGTCATCTTTGGAAATATCATTTGAAAAACAAAAATTAGGACCCAAAGATGCAACCTCCGCCACTTCCGATGGGACCTCAGTGTCAGTTAAATTTTTGAACCAATTTGGTTGATTAATTTGAATTTTTGTAGATTGTCCTTTTTTAATTAAAATTGCAAGTTTCTTTTTATGAGTAGTGTTGTTGGCGAATAAGAGACGATTAAATTTTTTTCGTGAAAGCTCAAGAAATCTATCACGAGATACATTATCAAAGTTTGAATTTACAATGTTTTGTTCGTAGTGATTTAAACGCTTTTTTAAAAATTCTACATGTAAATGAATATCGTCGATCTCCGTATTTAGTAGGTTTTTTAGAAAGGATTTTTTTAGTTTTGAAAAGGATTTTTTACAAGACTTACTGTAAAAAGATGTAATATTTAGACGCTTTTCTAAACCAATGATATGTTGAGGAAAGACGTTGTTGTTTCTACAGCTCAAGAGAAAAACCTTTTTTGATAGTGCAGTCGCCAGTTGTTTGTTAGTAGATGTCCATTTTTTTAAAAGATCTTTGAAGTGTTTGCCATATTTGTCACCGATATAGGTGAAAAAGGATGTTGACAATGAGAGTGAGTCTATCTCCGATCCAAGACTCGTATTTAGTAATTGAGTAGAGTTAAATCCTTCCATAATTTAGTTGATATAGTTGTTGAATAAATGATCATGGGAAGGTGGAAATTGAATAAAATCCAATGTGTATTGTCAGTATAGCGACGTTTCGTTGGCTAAGGTTTGCCAACCTCATCAGGCTGAATTTATTAAAAGAATAAACACTTCAATATTTATAAAGACTTAAAGCACTATTTTTATAAAAGTAATGACAATAATATTATCATACCTAATTCATTAAAACATAGAGACACGTTTTAACTTGTCAAGAAATAAAAAACAATAAATAAATAAAATACAACACATGTTCCACATTAAATAGTTAAAAATAGAGTTAAAATTTAGAAAGGAAGACATTTCATTACACTGTCTCAGTGTCAACTGAAATAAAATTAGAATTTAACGATATAAGAAAGTCAAATTGATACGAGAAGGGGCAATGAACTTATATATAAACACAGGTTGTCAGAAAGTTATGTTATTGTTGTGTATCGTTAAAGGCAAGAGTCTATACGTCTGAGAAGAGGAAAGAAGGTTTTGTTTAGAGTGAAAATATCTTCCTTTCTGTTGATAGTGGAACGATTAGTTTTAATATGGATCATTTCAGATATTCGTCGTTTTGTAAAATTTTTTTCATTGTCCAAGATTTTTGTGTTTTCCCAGTCAAAATCGTGATTAAAATTGGTTCGGTGTCGATAAACTACAGAGTTGTCATTCACTTTTTTGTGTTCATTTATGCGAGTAAATAATGATCGTTTCGTCTCGCCAATATATGTTGCAGGGCAGTTTTTACAATTAAACTTGTATACAACATTAGTTCTATCCCATTTTTTCGTCGAATCTTTACCTAATCTAACGATGGAGTTAGAGTTTTTATTTATAAGGGGGATAGAAGTGCAATGAAACTCTTTGAAAATATTTGACAACTTGAAAAAACATTTTTCATTGAAAGGTAGACAAACTTTAGGAGTTTGGCTATAAATATTATTTTTATTATTATTATTTACATCAGAAAATTTTATTTTGTTCATACGAATTTTTATTTGATTTTCAATGAAATCGATAGGATAGTTATTATTTTTCAAAATAGTTTTAATTTTTTTCAAGTTATCAAAATGGAATTTTTTGTTGGACAATGAAATCGCTCTGTCGACGAGATTGTATACAATATTCTTTTTTTGTTGAATTGGATGATCTGAAAAATAATTGATAAGTCTATCCGATGAAGTCGGTTTTTGATACCAATTTGTAATAATTTTATTATTATCTCTAACAAGATTTAAATCGAGAAATTTAATATTTTCAAAGAGTTTCATTGCACTTCTATCCCCCTTATAAATAAAAACTCTAACTCCATCGTTAGATTAGGTAAAGATTCGACGAAAAAATGGGATAGAACTAATGTTGTATACAAGTTTAATTGTAAAAACTGCCCTGCAACATATATTGGCGAGACGAAACGATCATTATTTACTCGCATAAATGAACACAAAAAAGTGAATGACAACTCTGTAGTTTATCGACACCGAACCAATTTTAATCACGATTTTGACTGGGAAAACACAAAAATCTTGGACAATGAAAAAAATTTTACAAAACGACGAATATCTGAAATGATCCATATTAAAACTAATCGTTCCACTATCAACAGAAAGGAAGATATTTTCACTCTAAACAAAACCTTCTTTCCTCTTCTCAGACGTATAGACTCTTGCCTTTAACGATACACAACAATAACATAACTTTCTGACAACCTGTGTTTATATATAAGTTCATTGCCCCTTCTCGTATCAATTTGACTTTCTTATATCGTTAAATTCTAATTTTATTTCAGTTGACACTGAGACAGTGTAATGAAATGTCTTCCTTTCTAAATTTTAACTCTATTTTTAACTATTTAATGTGGAACATGTGTTGTATTTTATTTATTTATTGTTTTTTATTTCTTGACAAGTTAAAACGTGTCTCTATGTTTTAATGAATTAGGTATGATAATATTATTGTCATTACTTTTATAAAAATAGTGCTTTAAGTCTTTATAAATATTGAAGTGTTTATTCTTTTAATAAATTCAGCCTGATGAGGTTGGCAAACCTTAGCCAACGAAACGTCGCTATACTGACAATACACATTGGATTTTATTCAATTTCCACCTTCCCATGATCATTTATTCAACAACTATATCAACTAAATTATGGAAGGATTTAACTCTACTCAATTACTAACCCTAACTGTACTTATTAGGAAATTTAGGTTTCTTATTATATAAGTAAAGACTCTACATCTGTACTTTCAAATAAATTCTGCTTATTTTAATCCCAAAGAACTAATTTTATGCTCTAAATTGTCGAGTTTTTAGTAATTAAATATTAAAATATCTTAAACGTAAATTCTGTCAATTACAATACTACTCATAACATACACCAACAAATTTTAGTAAATTATTTGCCAAATTAACTGCATAATGAAGAAGAGTTATTCCGAAAATAATTGAATATATTTCATTCGCATTAGATTTTGATCAGACGTAAATGAGATTTAAATAATAAATAGTCGTTTTGAAATATAATAAATGTTCGAAGAGATTTAATGTATACAAAAAAATAGTGATGTGAGTTAGGGTCACCTGCTAAAAGAGCGCACCGTTTCGGAGGCCGTCTATTATGGGGATACTTGAACTACTCACAGACGATGTTTGCCGTCTATACCTGTCTGAAGCTTCTGCTTGCCGAATGCTGAGCCGTTTATAGTATACAATATATGTGTATATATACGTATAAGTATACATATAGGTAGGTTCATCCATCTGGAGTCTTGTGTATAGCACCTTAATATAGGGTAACCGACCGTTTTATTGTGCTCCAAGTTTACCTACTACCTAGACACGTTTTCCCCGTAGCAAAAAGTCCCGTATTTATATACATAAAACTCGATTCATCGTCACACACTGAAATTCGATCGAGCTTATTCTCTCCCTCTCTCTCACAAGTTCAGCCTACTTCCGTTTCTCGTTTCCGTTTTCAATAATAACATACATTAATCCCGTGAAAACTTAATCCAATAAAGTAAAAATAAACAAATCCAATAAAATTGGAATATAAATACTTGCAGTTTTCACAAGCTAAAAGAAAAATTAATTAATCAAGTTGAAAATGAAAATATGAGAAATTGTTATTAGAGGTGTGCTCCAAAACTTCAAGTACTCGTTTGGCATCGAGTAGTCGAAATTCGGAGGCGCATAAATAATCCCTCTAAAACTCATTTTTAGAATTTTATTAGACATAATTTCCTTCTAGCCGAATCTCATTTAGATAAAAGTGATCTTTAACCACTTCGCAGTCTAATTAAAAATCGCTTGTGGGACTAAAACGGTCCGAAAAAAAAGTTTAAAAAAAATGTGATTTCATCATATAAGGTAAAAGCACCAGTACCTGGACATTGCAAAAAATGGAACCAAAAGATGGACAGTAACAAAAAGAATTAAAACTGCTTTCAATGTAAATGAAAAATAATATATGCCGTTTTTTAATATTAGCTTTTGGATCTCTGTTGGTTATAATTCAATTTTTTAATTTCTAAGCTCAAAATTGATCAAAAAAAAATTATAAGTCTCGAACTACTCAAAATGAGTGTCCAAGTTTACCTTCTGC